GCAGGAATAATGACATGAATAGTTTGACTGTTGACATGTGAAATCAGTGAACACTTGTCAAGATTTTTTCAGCAAAATTAAATGTTGTTAATTTAAAATGGGTCAGAGTAATATTTTTCTGTATTTGTTCATTCCATAATTTAAATTTAGATCATTTGATATACATTTTTACAATTGGCTCATTTCTGGATCATTAAACCCCATCATCAAATAATATTTATTAAGCTGCTGCATGCTCATAGATCCAGAATGACTGCTATACCATTGCAGTTAAGGAAATAGCATACACACTTCTTAAAAAATAAAAAGCTCTTCAGCCAAATAAATACTTTTATGTGTCTAATGAACACAGATATAGCATTTTTTCATCTTCCCATTCATTTGTCTCACTTCTCCCTGGCATTTCTAATTCTAAAAATCTATATAGAATTTTAAAGGTATTTTTGAATCATTAGCAAACACATTAAAAAATATATTGCACATTAAATTTTGATGGTATACTTTAGATAAACTGCTTTCAGGTTTACTTCAGTGTGAGGAAGATGTGGAAATTAAAGTTAGCAGTTGTATTATTTTGATAGACTACAGGGGTAAGTTTTGGAAAGTAATTGATCTTTGAAAAGAAAGGGAATAAAATGGAAACAACAAGGCCAAACAGAAGAATATAAAATAGTTGAAGAGATTATATGGTCAAATGTTAACTCCCACTCAGAATGACATATGATTATATTTGAGACTAATTGGACCCAATTCTTAGCTAACAGGTTGGTTAACAAAAAGAGTATATTATTCTAGTCAATGCTTTTGTTGTTGTTATTGTTAAATCTGTTTTCCTCACAGGGTGTGTAATAGATCTTTTGTTACCCATTAGTGGGGTCACCAGGTGGTATACACAAACAAAAAAAAGCAAATTTGGTGACACTACCTCAGTTTTGTTCATTTTTGGTTGTTAAATGTGGTAAAGATCATTGAAACTAATGTCTAAATATAGCTATTCTTCATCATTTATCTAGCCATATTTATTCTGTCCTCCACAGAGAGCAAACAAAAGTTAAATACTTTTTTCTAAAGAATTCAGCAACTGAAAGTTATTTACAGATCAGTCTTTAGTTTCTTACTTTGAAGATACTTCTCAGATTGATTATTGAATACTTAATATATCCATAATAAAGTAAATTTCTAATGAACTGTTATTCTTCAATTATGAAGACAGAGTTAACCTTACCTGTGTAAAGGGATCTTATGTAATTTTATTTCCGCATTTGTCTCCAAATGCTTCTAAAGGTTTACTCTCTTTGCTTTAAACATCTTATTCTCTAAAAGAATTTTTTATCTTTGTTGATATTCACTGCACACCAAGTGAAAGATGTCTGTCAAATCTTCTTCCTGAAAAAGTAAGAGAGAAGGAAAAATTGACCTTAGGGTGACCAGTTTATGGTTTCCATAACTGGGAATTACTTTGCAACTTTGTCTCCCAGTTTTACTCTATTTAAAGGCTCTTTGACATTTCAGATGGCCGTTAAACTTAAATTATAGCTCATTGTCTGAAATTATTTCTTTCTAGGTAAACAGGATTATAAAAAAACCAAACCTATTTTACGAGCAACCAAATTAAAAGCAGAAGCAAAGAAAACAGCAATAGGCATAAAGGTACCTGTATTTGATAACTTTAAAATTTGATATATTGCATGCCATCTCATTTTCTAAAACTGGATTGCATAAATGTTGAATTCTAAATGTTTTATGACATTTCAAAATCTAAGTCAAATGCTAGGATTAAAGGCTTTTAAAGAGAATTTACTTAATGAGAAACATCCTTCCCATTCTAAGATTTTATTAGGTCTTAGAATAAGACCTAATGTCACTTAAGAGATACAGTTACACTTAAAGTTGCAATTTACTTTTTCTCTAGCTACTGTATTTATTGTTCAAACACTTCAGCGATATATGTGGCCTGGATCAAAAACTTTTCTCACTTGCAATAAGTTTCATTTTATGGTTGTTTAACTTTTAATTATAATTGTATATACTTAGATCGTTAATATATGTAATTTTACACGTGTATTATTTTTGTTGCCAGTACTCTCTATGATGAAATTCTAATGATGTTCCCAGACTTGTTCTTTTAGAAAACCAGTGTTTTAACTGCTTAAGAGGGATAAAAGCAACTGAAAATGATGTTAGCAGATGCTAATCCCATGTGCTATCCCAATGAAGTTCAACAAAATTACATTTACATTATTACCCATGTCAACTCTGCCAAGTGTTTAGAGTAAAATTAAACTATAAATAGAAAAATTAATTTGACGGCTCTACTGTCAAATGTGCAAAAGTAAAGTGACTAGTACATATATTTTATTTAAATATTAAAATGTTAAAAGGAGATTTTGGGTTTTATCTGGCAGATGAAAAATCAATTTTTCTAAGTTATAGCTTATAGCAAATGCCAAGGTATTACTACCAAGCTGTAACAGCTGTTGAACTGCCAGATGATATATTTGGTTGTCTTCCAGAATTTGCTATTATGATCACGAAACACTGCCTTCTTTTTACTCCTGATACTGATTTTGATCAAACATTGCTGTGTGCTGCGGTGTGTTTTCACAGCACAATCTCCTCAGTTAGTGCTGTGTGTCAGTTTTTAACGGAAGAAAAAAAAAAGTGAATTGCCTTTTTGTTTGAAAGAGAGATGATTAATCTTTTGAAGTTTTCTTCTAATTTCATGTGAAATTTCATTCATCTTTAAAATTATTTCCATGACACAAACTTTCTAAAACCAGTGGTTAGTTTCTTATTTTGCAGTTAGTTACCTGATGATTGTCTCTTGTAATGAGAGCACTGTCTGTCATTTTCCAGGAAAGCAATATGTCACTTATTTTTATCTTTCACAATACAGGGCTTTGTTTTTGTCTTGTTAGAAGAATATTGGGGTAGCACAATCCACTTGTGGCACAGTATAATAAGCAGCTGCAAATTAGAATTTGAAAAATAGTGCAGCCATGCATTTATTGATATATAACAACTTTCCTGTATATATCCTCTATTTCATTTGCTCTTATCATTTTGCTATGGTTTTAACTTGAGGAGATAACCATATTCCTAGTATAAGTCTACCTTATAGTGCAATCAAATGTCTTTTTAAAAACAGTATAGAATTTGTTTATCTTTTATGAGAAAAAAATTGTTCTTAGGTTTCATTTATGATTTAAAGTATGTACAGAAAAGTTTCTGACATCAAAAACAGCTCCTTTTTAATAAACTAGCATATCATTTTGATTTGTAAACCTGTGAAAAACAAAAACCTTATCTTTAAACACTGTTTACTTTGCTTGAAAATTTATGTAAAGAGCCCATTAAAATAATAGGAAACTTTTTAGAATCAGAACCATGGAAGTGTTTTACATTTCAAATCTGGCATACTAATTAGTTTGCCCTGTCAAACTTTGATTGCCTTGTCATTTTAGCATAGTATTTTAAATAACAAAATTTCTTTCAGCAATTGCCATTTAATGCTATTTAATTTCCCCAGTGAGTGATTTTATCCATGTTGATAATGTCAGAGAAGCAACTAAGGATTAATGAACATCAAACATGTTTGACTCTTATCTAGTTAATACAGAATGACCATAATGTTATAATATTTTATCACTTTACTACTTATTTTTTAGAATGAATCATTGCTATGCTTTTAAAATAATTTAAATCTACAGAAAATATGAACAGCTGCAAGGAATAGAAAAATAACAACAATGATAAAACTGAACACGAAAGAGGCCTAGAATCACATGACTCCTCTTACTGTTACAATGATCTGAGTCTAAACTGGCACATTTGTAAAATGGATTTATGCCATTTACCTCACAGTATAGTCAGAAGAGTTAAATAATACACTTAACATAAATATTTCTTTGAGTTAGCTATTACTGGTTTGCATAAATAAGACTGTCCTTGGATGTTTGTCATTGGCCTAAAGATCCCCTACTTCAACTAAGTCTGCTTTGTGTTACTATACTACATATTACAAAATGTTTTCAGTTTTGCTGTGAAGATAGTATTACGGATATTATTGCTGTAAAGTTTTCAAAACATTACATAATTTTAATATACCTTGTACATAAATTATATAAATCTGACTCAATCCTTCATTTATTTAGAAATTGCTATGAGCATTACAATGTTGTAGAACCTGTGGAAAAAAAGATGAGTAAGACACAATTGTCTTGGAGGAATTTCTACAAGAAATCACATGATTGAGAAATCATGGATTAGAGATATAAAAATTACACAATAGGGTACTTACCCTCAGGGGCTTCTAGTGCTGTTTTATAAATGTATGTTTAGTGATAGAAAATTTCAGGGAACAGTAATGATTCAGAATAAGATATGAATATCACTTCTTCAAAATGTGGAATTATTTCTATTGAGAAGCTATTTTTAGTTTGTGTCTTTTACCAATATAAACAAAATGTCATAATTTATGACCCAGTAATGAGTACCACCTAAAAAAAATATATTTGCACAACTAATATTTGCTATTTGGTTGCTGTTCAATTTGAAGATTATTTTTCAAGAGTTGCAACATCAGGGAAATTTTTTTTAGAATGCAAATAACCTGTGTTTCCTAGTATTTAGAAGGAAAAAGATAATCTATATTTGTTTATTAAGTAGTTTATTTGAAACAAGTAATTATAATAAAAAATAAGGATCAGAAATCTGATTTATCTGTTACATAAATAAAATATTCAAATGACAACCAGATCCTGCTAACAACCCCTTGGGATGAGCCAGCTGGAAGCATTATTTTTGTTCTCTTTGTTATTCCTGATCTGAAACTAAAAATGGCCAAGGGTGGGGAGAGTCATAAATGCCTGTAGGTCTCTAAGCTATGGTTAGTGTGACCAGAATTCTGAAAGCAGTATTTTCAAATTTTACCATAGTTTTAACCCTCCAAGCATGCAGTCCCCACAATACTTATCTCCTTAGCAGAATAGGGACATTCTAAAACAAATGATTTGCTGTACCTCCTCGTCCAATACTTTGGAAGCCTCACCCCCTACACCATAGTATGTTGAATAGACTTAATTGAATTAGTGGATCTTCTGAAGTTGTATTCTATGAATGTTCTCTGCTTCCTACCCTTAAACCCCTTTTTCATGCCTCTGGATATTCTGAAAATGTACAATGAAGATGATACAGAACTGTTTGAAAGGATAAGAAGGAGTTGAAAACAGCAATTAGAGGTGATTATCAATGAGATGAGAATCACAGACTCTAATCAAGAGTAAAAACTTTAGTCTTGTGTTAAGCTTATGGGAATGGTGACTGCTGTTGAACAGTTTTTTGTCCACTGTACAGAACAGATGGAGTTTGCAGTTGTGTGTCACTTGTTTATTACATCCTCTTAAAATTAGTATCTGTGTAACCAGATGGGTCTGGGAGCACAGCTGTGGATACAAGAAAATAAATGAAACCTGTCTGATGCTGCCATGCCCTTTTGAGATGCCAAAGTATTCCAACTGCAACAGAGAAAAATTCACTTTAATTTGACATTATATTGATAGAGTAGATTGAGAAATCAAATCTTACAAAAATAGTTGACACTAAATCTTTCAACCCCATGTTTTTTATTAATATTTATTTTTATAGTTTGCAAATCTAAAAAAATATAATTATAAAGCTAAAAATCTGTATAAAATGTCCATTTGTAATTTCAACATCCAGGTAAAAATTACATGTTGATTATAAACCAAATTTATTTTAGTGTAATTAAAGTTTATTAGATGGCATATGTTGAATTATTAATTTTGCATACTTTTGAAATGTAAACTACATTTGTGTAAGTGCAAATAAATTGCTTCTCCATAAAATAATGTCAGGAAGGGGTGTGATATGGAAGTGAGAATTACAAGGGAATATTTAAGCCACTTAGGATACTCTACTAGCACTATTTATTCTTCTTTCTGTTTAGCCAAATGATATGTTAATATTGAGAAAATTCCTTCATGGTATGTGTGTGTGTGTGTGTGTGTGTGTGTATATATATATATATATATATATATATATAAGTTTATAGACTTTTTGAAAAATAATATGACTTTTGCCACTGTATATGTGGTAATTTTTTGGCTATTATTTCAGCATAATTGATTAATATAATCCATATCAAATCACCAAATGAAGTATCCAGGACCATCCTTCATAGTTGTGTTAATTATATCATATCATGCTTTATGAGCCAAGAGTACTTAGTTTTGTTCTGCCACATTGTAAACTATAGAATTTAGAATTTAAAAATGAGTTTTAAAAAATAATATTTAATAAGGATGTTTACAGAGACATAATCTAGAAATTGGTTATAATAGTTTCTTCCTATTAGAAAAGGAATGATAATTTAAAACAAAAATCTGTGTCCAAATGCTATAGCTAATAATAAAAGTATTGAAGCAAGAAATAATGTTATTTCTTTCTCAAATGTTATTTCTTTCTCAGATAGAGAAAGATAAACTGTGTAGGCACAAACTACATTGCTTACATCCAACAGTTTGATATCCAAACTACGAAAATATATTAAAATTATAAATGTTAATTTTACTATTAAAAAAACACAAATTTAAATAAAAATAATAATACACATCTATTATTATACCCACTGATGTACCTGCCATTATATTAGGTATTGTCAAGCACAAAAGTTTCTTTGCTTAATGACAGAAAGTGTTAAACAAAAAGAATGTGATTATTAATTCTAGACTCTGTTTTTTTATCTCGTGAAGCTGATAATGTTAACCAACCTCATTTCATGAATTTCAAATCTACTTTTTTTTTCCTTCCTCAGGAAGTTGGCCTTCTACTTGCAGCTATATTGGCCCTCCTACTGGCTTTCTATGCTTTCTTTTATCTCAGACTGTCCACAGATGTTGACCCTGACCTGGAACCAGATGAAGATTAGTTGAGCAGCAATCAATGCATTAAAATGATATAATTTTATAAAAGCACCTCTAGGGACCAATACTTTCTGAAGTACTGAGACAGCAAGATCTTGGATTTTTTCTGCTGGTATTTTCAGTTTGCAGAAATACCTTTTAAAATGTTGCATAGGATATCAAGAAAAGAACCTTACCTAGTAATGTAGTATGTGTGCTACCAGATACTTTTATAAATCTTTCTACTTTGACAGGCAACCTATTCATGGTGCATTTAGATAAAGTGAAAAACAGATCCTAAATTCTTCAGATGTCTTAGGCAATTTATGTGTATAACTCCATCACTTACAGATTACTAAATCTATTTTTGTTCCATATACATTCTAAGTAAAAGTATATATCCTCATTTACAGAAACATTCCCTAGTCACATTCAGAGCCTAAGAAGGAATGAAAACTCATGGGAAATTTTTCATTTTACAGAGAAGCCCTGCTTTCTTTCCAGACGTAGTTTATATCATTAGAGAGACAATCTGCACATACATCTACAGTAATCTTTTTCCTTCTTTGCCAACTGTTCAGTGCACATGTGCTCCATCAGAAATGGCACCTGGATGACAGAAGCTCAAAGAGTCGCATATGTCTCTAAAATAGAGTTGCTTTCCTCTTGGGCTGTCTGAACTGGTGTAAATAGAAAGTTCAGTTGATCTTGATTTTAATTAACTTATTACTCTATTAATATAAACTTGGAATTCTATTTTAATTATGTTGTCCTGGCTGCTTGCAGTATCAGTTTGCCCCTCTTGTTAAGGAGGTATGTAGCAACTGTTGTCTAATTGTGCAGTGTTTTTCACACAACTGTAATAGCAGAAGTCCTACCTACTCAGAGTCATTTTCTTGGGTTGTCTCTTATATCTGAACAATACAAACTTGTTTTACAAAATTGTATTTTGTCTCTTGGGAATTAAATCAATTAGAACCCTTTCATGAAAAGTAATAGAAGAAAATATATGTCTTATATTACTCACATATGGAGTTTTTTGTTTATATGATTTTTCAAGGTATTTTACATTTGTTGGAGGATAATGACTAATGTAGTCAGTATTTTTTACTGGTAATGGAATTTTAAAATAATTTTATAACACATGAATACATAAAGATTAGAAAATGGAAAAATATGTGTTCACAGCAGAGTTGTTAGTTACTACCTTACATAAATATGTATAGAAAATGAATAGCTTGCAACATGTGCATAAGGTGTTTCATTGTAAATACATTGTTTTTAGGAAGAGTAAATAAAATGTTAAGATTGCTTCCATACGCTCCAAGAGAAGAAAGTATTGTTAAATATCCTAGATTGTCTTTGAGACTTTTGCAGATAGTTGAATGTGGTTGTGTAGCATTATGTTCTGTAGAATTTTTTCAAGTAGCATAACTTATTTCATCAGTGTGAAAACAGCCGAAAGTTCCAGTATCCTCACAGATCATTTATGCCAAACATCTGAGGGCAAAATTTAGCCAGTGCTATTTCCTGGATTCTTCCCATTGAAATCACAAACTTAAGAGACAGACCAAGAGTTCTTATACATTCACCACAGTGGACAAATCCAAGTGGCATTTTTAGGAAAGGTTGCAGCATTTAATGCCATGTGGTATGTCTGTTTGTGAAGTGGGTGGCAAGAGAATATCCAAGCTGGCATTTTGGATATGATGGGTCTTTTACTTTCCTGAGTGACATGCCACATGTCAAGAAATACTGCTTTCCCCCACTCCTATCACATTTATGAGAACAATCTTCATTTAGTTATTTCCCCTCCCATCTGGTGTTAAATACAGTCATATAAAATAACGATTATTTCTAATTTCAGTGGTAATTTAAATGCAAGGATATGTAATAATTGTCTATTAGATACCTATCCAAGTGAGATATTACAGAATTTACAGTATTTAAAATAGATGATTGTACTCTTGGAAATGTTTGAAAATTCATTACCCCGAAAAAAAAGGAGAAAAACAACTTTACTATCCTGTTCTACTCTTGAGGTATTCTTTGGAGGAAAAATGTTGTTTCTGATAGTAATGAATATTAGCCTAGACACAGCATAACTAACTTAACTGATTAACTTATGGTAAGTCCCAAAGGCTAAACTCTGATTTTAATAAATAGCAGGTAAAGTGAGACAATGTATGTTTACAAAATAATGTTTTCGTGAAATGCATATTTTTCAAACTCACATTAACTGGGAAGCAGCCAGTCCTCTGTAGAGAAATCCCAAGTTGAAGTCTGATTTGAATCTTTGAAGACAGAGAGGTGATATCCGGTCTGCAGTTTCAGGGGACTACACTTTTAAATAGTGAGTGGTATTTGGCATAAATCTGAGACTGGCACCATACAAATTTTAGGCATGGGTTTTTCCCCTCCAATAATTCACTGCTCAGAGTAATTCAGAAGACAAAAAAAAAAAAAAATTAATGACTTTTCAGAATGTTAGAATCTATCTGTTAACATACTCTTTCTGCAGAAGAAATTTCAACTAAGGCAGCTGGACTTAACGTACAGCCTATAGAACACTTTGAATGAAGCTTGAATGGTTGCTGGTTCTTATATTGCATGAAAAATACAGAGTATGTAAATTCATTTGAGAGGCGATGTTGTAAAAATATAACCTCATCTATAATTTCTTTTAAAACAAATGTGCTAAAATCCTATTTTAGTACCAGAATGAGGTTTTGTTGTTGTTTTAAGGTGGCAAAATACTTGAGGGTTTTCCAATCTTTTTCAATTTTTTGTAAATATAGGTGAAATACTCCCACTCTAACCAAGGATTACAAAATCCTGAGAATATGTTCTTATTCATTTCTGTAATTGCAGTAGTGTAGTGGTCTGCACATTTTTAATAAATGCATGTTAGAATTTAAGTTAATCTCTTCAGTCCTCTCAGAGCCTGGCACAGTTCTTGCATGTAACAGATGATCAAAAATTATTTGCATTTAATAAATAAAACTTAAAAATCACAATGTTGATCAGCTCAGCATTTAGCATTTATGGTCTTTGGTTGTATTGGGACACATATATATTTAATCCTGGTTCTCTTTAAGATCAAGACAACTAGCATTAAATTTGCTACACAACAGAAACGTTGCTCTTTTCTAGGAAATCAAATATGCTATTTTCACCTTAGTATTGTTAAAAATCATACTCATTGTTTTAAATTTAACTTAGTCTAAATCGTCACTCCCATTGTAAATAAAACTAAATTTTCATTATAATGCTATATTTATGTGAAAACTAAAGTGTTATATTTTCCAGAATCTAAATTATAGTCATTGATAATTCAGTAGATCAAGTTATGCTTTAGATAAGCTTCAGAAATAAAATTCTAGAAATTAAACTTAAATTTTAATGTAGTTCATCCATAACATAAGGTTATTGAGTCAGAGACTATCTAAGGTAAACTTTTATTTTTTTCTTACCAACAATTAGGTGAAGACACTTACCTGAGGCTTCTCTGGGGAGATTCTCACCACTTTTCCCTTAGCAGCACTGCCTTCTTTTATTAGAATTGCTCCAATGCAGCCTGGATAGAATGTTTGCTAGATTTTTTTCCACTGACACCATATCTAAAATCAGTATAACCTACAGTAAAAATTGTAGCAGATGAATTCAGTGCCTACAGAAACACTTTACTATTTTGTATAGGTTTTAGCTATACAGGTAAGTATAGAGGGAACTGGGAGAGTCACTTCAAGAACTATATCAGTGTGGAAATATCTATAGTGGGTCAGTAAATGTATTTAAAACAATTGAACTGCTGTCGTATTCAGCATTGTGCCTCTTTGTTAAACAATTTTTTTTTTTATCCCTAGCAACAGACATGAGATCCTTATTTCAAGAAAAATAAGATACTTTACATGCCAGAAGATTTTTTGATGACAGTACCCCCTCCTATTCTTCATTTTTTAAAACAACAACCAAAATGGTGGGGAGGCAGCCAAAATTTGAGGTACCAATGCCTCTCGAACAGATGTCGCACCATTATTTTTTAGCTCGTTTAGATGAATAAACATGTTAAACTGTGAAGTATTACATTTTAGATTTTTTCATTAAAAAAAGAGACAATCTGTTTACTGTCCTAATTGAGACAACAATCCTTGTGGTTGCCAGTTTTGGCAGTCATAACAATGAACTATAAATATTTGGACCAACCAAGTAAATGATGGCTATAAAGGCTATAGCATGTGTAAAGTTCTGTTTTCACGGGCACCCATCTTAGTATGGCATTTTTTTCTGACTTCTTCAAATACAATTGTTTGTGTAAATCTGAAGTTTCATGGTGAGCCTAAAAGAAATTGATTTCAATATCTAATTTTGTTCTAGTTTATCATCCTTTTCAGTGTTCAACTATCCATCTGCTTGTAACAAATTGCTTCTGCAGTTGCTCTATTGAATGTGACAAGGCAGGTCTTATTGGATTGCCTTCTCTGTACATCCTAGGATAATACAAAATTCAGAAGGTTTTTTTTGTTATTGTTCTCATATTTATAAAGTGAGGTTAAAAACATTTTTAAAAGTCTTTTAAATTGCAGTTTTTTAAAAGAAGATTTTATAGATAAACATGGCCAAATATAACTCTTGCTATAATGACCATGAGATGGAGGTCATAGTCTTAGCCCTTATTAGTATGCTTTACATAAAACAGGAGTGTGGGAGAAGTTGGTGGACCAAAGAGAAATAATCCAGACATTAAAAACTCATTTATTACACTAGTACCTAAACATTTGTGATGCAGATAGTGAGTGCCCTTCTAGGCATCTTATTTGAATTCTCTTGCTCACTTCTCCTACTCTTCACCTATGTGCCTCAATTCTAAATTCTCGGCAGTCTCGAACATTCCTTCTCTGTTTGTGTGAACCTCACTTGTACTTTGTAATACTTAACTTTGTGCTTACTATATTAACTGCCTCTATCTACTGTTTTACTTAGAATCATCATTGATCCTCACCTATTTTTTCTACTGTCTCTTACTTCTTACCTGCTTTCTTTTTAATCTGTCACTAACCACAGGCATTATGCAAAACTAGAGAACAGTACAATGAACCTCAATCTACCCATCACCTAGTTTCAAGAATTACCAATATTTTGCCACTGCTTTATATACTCAATGCATTTTCTGTAACCTGAGGTATTTTAAAGCAAAACTCAAATATGCTCACATTTTACCTGGAAATATCTCAGTATACATCCCTGAAGGAACTTTCATATTTGTTTGTTTGTTATTTGTTAGGTATTATTTTTTGAGTTACTAAGAAGCTACTATTACAGCTAATAGAATTAATTATTTCTTGTTATCACTTAATACCAAGTCAATATTCAGATGTCCTTAACTGCCTCCAAGATACCTATTTAAGATAAGTTTTGAGTCAAGATCTGTACTGCATTTGGTTGTATGTCTCTTAAATTTCTTTTAAAGTTGACCCTTGAACAATGTGGGAATTAATCTCCTTATAACTCAGTCAGCCCTCCATATCCCTGGTTGCTCCACATCCACAGATGCAACCAACCACGATCATGTACTGTAGTATTTACTATCGAAAAATATCCACGTATGAGTGGACCCATGCAGTTCAAACCCATGTTGTTCAGGAGTCAACTGTATTCTGCAACAAACCTTTTTCTTTCATGCCATTGATTGTTGAAGAAACCAAGTTATTTGTCCTTTTGGATGTTCAACATTCTAGATTTGGCTTTTTCATTTTGTTATTCATTTTATTCCTCTATTTTTTCCTATTTTCTGTAAACTAGGAGTTAACTTTTAAGTTAGATTAGATCCAGACAGTTTTGTTGTTGTCATTTGTTTGTTTTTAAGGCAAGAGTATTTCATAGTGAGACACATGATATCTGGTTGTCTCACTTATGGTGATGCTGAAATTTAACAGTGGATTCATGTGCTAGTAACCTGATTCCCTCCAAAATAAGGTTTTACGTCAACATTTTACCTAAAGCTTTTAGCATCCATCCATAATTGTTTCCTTGGTTCATTATCTCATTAGGCATTTCAAACTGGTGCTTTTCCATCATTCCTTTACCATATATTAAGTGAAATTATTAAAAACAATTTTATCAGCTATTTGGTTAGCTTACACATCTCATAACAAGAAGGAAGCATAAATACTTGAATTCCAAATTTCAGAGTAATGGCTTAGCACTCTCTAACTGTGGCCTATAAAGATGTGTCATTGTTGTTCCTGTTGTTTCTTTTATTATTATAAAGGCATAGATTTTACCTATGTGGTGTGGCTCAATCCTTTGTA